ATACACCAAGAGCCGGGGCCTGTCGGAGGGTTCTTCTGTTAAAGGGAGTTTTTCCTCCCCACGGTCGCCAAGTGCTTGCTCAAGGGGGATTTGTTGGGTTTTCCCTATGTAATAATATTGATAACAGTAAGGTCTAGACCTTACTTTGTAAAGTGCCCTGAGATGAGACTTTGTTGTGATTTGGCACTATACAAATAAAATTTGATTTGATTTGATTTGAATATTGTGCACACAAACAGGTCCATGTGCCACAGCTTGTTTCCATGTGAGCACTGGAGGCCTCTTGTTAGGAGCAGATGATGTTACTATCTGTATGTTCTGCAGGTGTATTTGCTGAGTGAAATGTGCTATATGTACATTTTCAGGTGATGACAGCTCTTCATACGTACCTCCGCCACTTACTTCACCACTTACTCCACCACTTGCTCCACCACTTCCTCCGCTTCCTTCTACATATTCACAAACGCCGTCGTCGTCTGCTCCTGGCTCGGCGAAGAGCCCTGAGAACCCGGATTTCTTCTGTGTCCCTTTGTCGCTGTCACCTTTGTCCAATATATTAGAGAAGAATCCTCCCTTTCCCTCGTCTTTATTTCCCTGGTCGGTCTTGTTGCCTCCGAACACAGAGAGGATTCCTCCTCCTCCTCCTTCCTTCTTGCCCTGGTTCTTGTTCTTGCCCCCACCCATAGCGCTCTTCACTGCACCCTCCACCACGCCTCCTGCAGAACAAACACCGTGAACTCCAGCTGTTTCACATGAAAACCACCTTTGTTTGGATGAATCAGCCTGGAGCACCAGAGGGGTGTGGATGATCTCAGGAGGACAAACATTAAAAAGTATCTGAAGTTTGCCTGAAGCTCCCATCACCTGTTTCTCTCAGTAGAGGAGATAAACACTGCAGCTACGAGCCTATGATCGATACTTCGATCACGTAAGAGAGAAACAGACATTTTACTGCAGAATGTTTACTTTTAATGCTGATACTTTAACTACATGAAGCTGAAAATACTTGTGTACTACTGTATTACTTTAAATACAGCACATAAGGCTGAGAGCATTTGTGTACTTTCACTAAAATGAACTGGTAACAGCACTTTTACATTGTTGTGCTGGTACTTTTTTACATAATTGAAGATCTGAGTTCTCCTGTGACTCTGAATACCACAGTATTTTCACAGGCCAACAGGAGAACCGCCATCTGATTGTCAACACATCTACAACCACATTAAAAATTCTCCAGCCAGCAGTTCGTCACAGAACCTTGTACCAGCTAAAAGATTTCACTCTCATCACTGTTCAGTTTCTGGCCTCTTGGCTTCATAAACTCCGTGAATCTCTGCCACAGGGTGTTTCCACACAGGAACCCTTTTTCTCAAGGTTTCCCCAAAAACTGGACCATGAAAATACAAATCTGTGCCTTCTGCACATCCTTGTTGTTGTACTCACCCACTTTTTGCCCGATGATATGTGCGATATTGTCCATGTCTGTCGACTTGTTGGTGTTTGTACTGAATGAGCACACGGCTTGGAGTGTGACTTCTGGAAGGTGGAGGTGAGACTGAGGCTGTCGACGCCTCAGTTGGCCATCAGGCGTGTCTGCAGACAGGACCGACCTGTTCCACCTGCTCCCATGCTGCACTCTCACCTCATCAGTAAAACTTCATTTAGGGAGATGGTGTCTTATTTACAGTAGCTTCATTTTCAAAAACACTTTTTGACGAAATGAACATGTTCTATGTTGTTGTGAGTGACGTGCAGCTGAAGCCCTAAGTACTGACTGCAGGTGTCAGATTGGCCGTGTGGCTGTGAGAAAGTGAGAGGAATGGCATCTGTGTGACAGGTGAAGACACCAACTCACCTTGAAACACAGGTATCGTCAGATATGTCACATGACCCATGTGTGCAGCTCACCACAGTAACAAAACAGAAGCATTAAACAAGTCAAATATAATACACTAACTGACCACTTTATTAGGTACAGCTGTACAAACGTTATGAAGCTTTCAGATTTTGATGGTATTGTAAGGAAGCTGATAATTCTACTTTATGTTTACTATCGTGGTTTTACTGGAGTCCATCCATCCATCCATCCATTTTCCTCCGCTTATCCGGGACCGGGTCACGGGGGCAGCAGTCTAAGCAAAGATGCCCAGACTTCCCTTTCTCCAGACACTTCCTCCAGCTCCTCCGGGGGAATGC